TGTGTGTGTGTGTGTGTGTGTGTGTGTGTATAGTACTTGGGTTAGGTTTTTGATCCTCACTCCCGACTGTCTGTGTGGCCTTTGTGTTGCCCCCCCCCGCACAGATGCTAAGCACAGATGTTAAGCACAGCTGGCAAGATGTTACAGCTAAGAATCTAACACCATACCAGTAAATGTTAAGCAGAGACGCTAAGCTATATTCTAAGAAGAGATATTAAGTACAGATGCTAAGCAGAGCTAAGCATAGATGCTAAGCAAAAAATGCTAAGTACGGATGCTAAGCTAAGCTATGCCATTACAGCTAAGCAGCTAGCATCACACCAGGCACAATAAATGCCAAGCAGAGACGCTAAGCACAGATTCTAAGCAGAGATGCTAATCACAGAGGCTAAGGACAGCTGCTAAGCACAGACGCTGAGGACAGATGTTATGCGCAGATGCTAGGCAGAGACGTGAAGCAGAGATGATAGGCAAAGATGCTAAACTAGGGTGACCATACGTCCCCTTTCTCCCAGACTTGTCCTCTTTTTTGGGACCTAAAAATGTCCGGGATTTGCCTGTGTTTGTAAGCACAGGCACTAAGCAGAGATGTTGAGCACAGATGCCAAGCAGAGACGCTGAGCACAGATGCTAAGAACAGATGCTAAGCACAGGTAGGTACAGAATTCTTCCGCTCCCTTTGGATGTGGGGGAGCTCAGCTAACAGGCGGGGGGGCGGGTACAGAGCTGGTGAAGCCGGGGGTCTGACCTTGTTCCCCAGGTAGCTGGGAGGGGAGCTCCAGTAAAAAACCCCCTGCAGATGGGCGATGGCCTCTGCATGGCCGACGCTGAGCGACGGAGGGTCCTCCTGACTCGGCACGGGCCAAACCTTGTCCTCACCGTCCCCCCTCAGGACCCAGCCAAGCATGGTCGTCATCTGGCAAAGGGGACCGCAGAGAAATGGGTGAATGAGTCAGTAATCAAACCACAACTAGTACAGCCATTCATCAGAACCCCAGGGAATGATGTACTGGCGTCCACCACTTAACCCATTTTCTGAAAAAGTGCATCATTTAATTGATAAGTGGGAACATAATTCTGGCCATAAACCACTCTGCTTGTTATACCAGTGTGGCGGTGGAATGGTTTCCTCGAAAGAGAATTTCACACGGCACACATGCATATCCGTTATCACGCCATCAAGGTATTTATGTGGGTGGGTTAAACCTCGGTAAATTGTACTTAAATTACGGGGTGTGCAGCTCTGTTAAGACCATGTTAAAAAAAACGGAAATGTTAGAGAGACCAAAGTAAAAGCAGGCCACACTCAGAGCAGAATCTCATTTACGCTGCTACGTGCACTCGCCGTGGAGACGGCCCGTTTGCACGGACATGGCATTCGCACGTGACGCACTCACAGACACAATTACACGGCGGCGGCCGCGGAGTTTTGGAAGGAGAACTCAAGGTCAGGTTAATTACAGAGACAGATGCAGGGCTGCCTGTCTCATGCAGGAAGGGGGCGTTGATCACTGTGACACCCCATCCCCCCTCCCCCCTCCCTCCACACTGCCTGTGCTGATAGCCCCTCTGTTTACCAACACATATCCCCACAGACTATTAACCTCTGACCCCCCTGTGGGCTCATCCAATCAACATGTCACCATGGGTGACACGCTATAAATCAGCCGGTATTTACGGTGCGCCGGGGCCTTGGCCGTTTCTGGCCCGGCGGACGGCACCATGTGATTTTAATAAACCCAGGAAGACTGAGGCACTTCACCCATGCGCCCCCACCTGTGCACAGGAAGAGTTAAACACCCCCCCCCCAACAGTAAAGATGCTAATGAGTCCGATATCTCACGTTACTGTAGGACCAGGAAGAGTCAGAGCATTCGCTTGTGATGCCGGAGCAGAAGCACTTTCCGCATCCGTAGGGATTATCTCCACGGAGATTGTGGAATCCCGACTTGCAGAGGTCGCAGTTTTCCCCCTCGACGTTCCCCTGAAAGACGACAAAAGACACATAGGGTGAGTGCTGGCCTTGACGCGAGGGTCCAGATTGCACATTTGGGTCGGATGGGATCCCACAAATCCTCCTGACTGGATCATTCATGTCAAGGACCCCCGTCCCTCTGGTCCCATACAGACAGGCAGTAGATCAGTAATCTCATCAATCAGGGAAAAGATGCAGCAAAAAAATGCCGTATACGCAACGAGATTTAAGAATTTATTTGTCCTATGCGCAATTACTGAACAGATCAAAATTCAAAACATGCATCTCTAGCTTACCATCGTAAATTCAAAATATCATAAGTCGAACCGTCGTGCAGCAAGGATCATAAATTAAGTCAAATAATAAGTGAATGTGGGTTATGATAAAAAAAAAAAAACAGAAGATAAATAAAATGCTATATGTAAGAATGTATTGTGTTTATGCACACAACAGTACTATGATCGTCTGAAAGACGAGAGCAACAACAAGCAAGGATCAGCCCATGGCACGTGGAAGCAGATGTTTCTGAGATACGACACAGAGAGCGGGATCTGTAGCAGCCAGACTATACATGTTAAAAATAAAACCTGCCGGCTGTAGGGCGGCATCCGCCCCCCACCCCCATGCGGCCGCCCACCTTGCAGGTGCAGGGCAGCTTGCACGGGTCCCTGTTCAGACTTCCCTCCAGACTGCAGTTGCAGCGCACGCACAGCGGGGACCCGGTGTACCCAAAGGCACATCTGTCACACTTGTCACCCCCGTAGCCCTGCCTGCAGTGGCAGGAACCGGCTCTTAGACCTGCAGGCGGGGTGCACAGCGGAGACACGCCGGTGTTGACAGCGAGCAGGGCAGCGGGGCAGCGTTGCGGTAAAAAACCTTCACAAAAGGTTGTCAGTTCAAGTCCCAGTAGGGGCCATTCTCGCCGATGTCTGAGTCGCATACTTAACCTGAGCTGCCTCGATAACAGCATCCAGCTGTAGAAATGCAAAACAGTCCAACCTAGATAAGTCAGTCTGGATCAAAGGGACGTCAGTTACGCATGTAATGCGTCGCATGTGGTGCATCGCGGAGGCCCGTTCACCTGCTGAGGCCATAGACTCGTCGGGGACGCATGCTGCATGGAGGGAGCCTGCGGGGTTACACAAGCATGGCTGGCAGGGGTCTGGGTCCTCCGGGAACACCTGGCGGAGACAACGGGGTAAATCTTTTTGAACTCCTAAGCTCCCTCTTGGAAGAGACGGCGCCGGCATGCCGCACCCCTTCGGGCCGGAAGTAGCCATCTGCGCAGCTCTGGCAGTTGATGCCGGCCGTATTGTTGCTGCAGCCGACGCAGATGCCGCCACCCTCGTATGTGCCCCTCGTGTTCAGACTCTCCCTCCGGACAGCGACCGTCTGATTGTAGTAGCACTCCTCCGACTTGCCATGACAGTTGCATTCTGGGAGAATGTAGCATAGAGCGGGACGGGTACAGGCTAGTCGTTAAGCGTCTCAATATTCATGGCACCACAAAATACTCCACCTTCTTATTTTAGTGCTCAGCTGACTCTCTCCCCATCCATTTTACCGCGCCCAAACAGGAAAAGACCCTCATCGCCGTAGCGATGCAATTATATCATGGTTGGTGCGACTTCCTTACTCTCGCACACGTGCCGGGTCAGGAACGTCCCTGCCATCCACGGCTGCTGGTGGTAGCCGGGGCAGCACTGGTCACAGCTGTCCCCGCAGGTGTTGTCCTCGCACTCGCAGCTGAACTTCTGCCAACAGCAACAGCGGTGGTCAAAGGTCAATGGTGGTAAGTCGGATTGAGCAGGCCTGCTCCCCAAAAAGGCTGGGACCAAAAGGGGCAGGTGGATTCAGTGATGCTGAAGCGCGGAGAGCTCCTCCCCCCCCCCGGCCCCCATTATACCTTGGTGCCACTGTTGAGCGGGCAGGCTTTGGCGTGTCCGTAGCAGATGCACATGCCCCCGACCGAGATGTCCTTAATTGAGTAGTAGTACTGCGGGCAGGACAGACGAAAATGGCAGAGTGTCACACGGCGAGGTCTTATTTCATCATTTTCGGCTCTAAATGAAAGTTCAGGCGATCACGGGTCGGAGCGGCGGGGGGAATTTAATTAAACCGGCAATTAAGCAGCTGGGCCAGTGACAGTCAGATATCAGAGGCAGGTCTGGTTACACACAGACCTCTGATTAAAGTGCTGACCCTTTAACCAAGGTAAAACGCGTAACTCTCTTTATTGTTATGAGTCTGCATCGGGTGATCTGGCCCTTGATTGGGTGATCCGGCCCATGATTGGGTGATCTGGCCCTTGATTGGGTGATCCGGCCCATGATTGGGTGATCCGACCCATGATTGGGTGATCCGGCCCATGATGGTACTGCAATGTACAAGGCTCGTACAAAGGGGCTCGTATTCACCATTCATTACGGTGTGTTCCCAGTCACAAAAGCCCAACTGAAAGGTCCTTCGGCGAGACTACACCGAGACCACATGCAATTACAAGCGTGACCCGCAGGTACAGCCATACCTGTTAATTAACTAAACCACAAGCACAAACCTGGTGACTGAAAAATGCCAGATTTAAAATATGATCAGATGGACTGAAATGATGTCTTAATAGTTCATTTCAAATCATCTGGCGAGATTACACTGCGGAAGGAGATTATTATGTTAGTTAGGCAGACCGAGTAAAAGTCACATTAACAAATCCATTTTATCACTGCTACTAGTAACTGGACACGCGTCCGAACCCGTCTGGTGACGATTGGGTCGATGTCCCGCGGGTCATTGAGGGCCAGGGTCATGAGGTCAGCGTTCAGCGTCCTGATTCTCTGGAAGCGTAGGCGGATATAGCGGGCAGAGGTGAAGTTCAGCAGGGTTGGGGAGGGATCTTCGGCACTGGGCCTCCCATTGATCAGGGAGGTGTGGATCTGCAGCACAAACGGCAAGAACAAAAGTGGACATTAAGCAATAAGAACCATGGAGGGCGATGGGGCTTCAGCGCAGGGCCGGTAGCAATTACACAAATGGACACCGTATTTACTCAAACACCCAGTGCAATTACCCTCCTTACCTGATTAAAAACACACAGCCTAAATTACAGGCCAGATCTCGTGCTGATTGTTATAAAAAGAGGTGCATGGGGGTAAATTCCAGAGCAATTAGTATCTTTTTTTAGCACCCTATTTAAGAGTGCTTCAATGCCAATCTGCAGGGCTGGCCTCTAATCAGCCGCTGCATCGTCAGCAGGGAGCATTGCATGCAGCATCACTCTGCCGAATCCGCAATCATTGCATGCAGCATCACTCTGCCGAATCCACAATCATCGCATGTGGCATCACTCTGCCAAATCCGCAATCATTGCATGCAGCATCACTCTGCCGAATCCACAATCATCGCATGTGGCATCACTCAGCCGAATTCGCAATCATTGCATGCAGCATCACTCTGCCGAATCCATAATCATCGCATGCGGCATCACTCTGCCGAATCCATAATCATCGCATGCAGCATCACTCTGCTGAATCCGCAATCATTGCATATTTGAAGTGTCCTGAAGGCCAGATCCTCATTCTGGAACTCCGAAACTATATACTAAGTGGTACAATTAAAACATGATTTTGTGGTTTATGGACATCATGTTGCATAGTATAACACATAATTTTATGCGATGATGCATAAAATTCTCCGAAAGTCGAGGTAATAATAAATTTTTTAATTATTTAAAAGCTCTCAACACTTGTATATTTGCTCCTCAGTGTGTCTGTGTGTCCCAGGGTACACCCCTCTCCACTGGCGACCCCCGGGTGGGTCAGACCACTGGAGAGAAGGGAGGGGGGTGCATGACTTGGGGGGAGCAGGGCTGTGGACCGTGTGGGCGGCTGTGTGTGTCTTTTGTGGGACACCACTTGTCTGTTAATGAGACCTACTGTACACCGTTGCCGCTTTAATGTTCCCTAATTGCCGATTTGAAAAGATATTTCAGCACACAGCCAAAGTCGTTAGCCATGCCGGGGCTAATGAGCGCCACATGCGGGTCGGGGCATTTTCACATGCGCGTGCGGGGGTGTCCGCCCTCCCCAGGGGGAACGCGGTCTGCCGCATGAGGAAACAGACTGCGGCTCGTTGCCACTAAAAATCCAGGGCTACTTTAATAAATATCAACTTATATAAAAAGATATCAAGTTAAAATCATGACCAGTCTGGATAGTAACTTTGTATTGTTCATATAAAAAAGAATAAAGAGGCAAAAAAAAGGAATTCACTAAAAGTTAAAGCTTACAGCAAATTAAATACTTTCTTTCAAAATCAAACTAGACTATGATATAGTGGGCTATTATTATTTATGATCATATAGATAAAATCAGCAAAAATTATTATATAATAATTATTATCATTATTGTCATTTTAATGATTATTATATAGATAAAATAAATTATAAAAAATGCCAGAATGCAAGAAATATCGCAGCTCATTGTTATATTATATTGTGTTCCAATGGAACCAACCAAAATCACACATTTATTTCATAAATAAACCAATCCATCAAAAATCAGGTTTCATAATGACTTGCACCCCTGGTGCAGCGCTTGGTGAGACCACCTCTGGTGAGCAGAACAGCATGTCGTCTTCTCCTGTACTCTTTCACAAGGTTATGATACACATTTGGAGAGATTCTGGACCATTCCTCCACAGGGATCCATTCAAGATCAGCCACATTCTCTGCAGCAAGACAGAGTCTCAACCCAACAGAAAATTTGTGGGCAGAAATGAAAAGTGTGAGATAGGAGTCCTTCACCCCCGATCTGTCTGGGGAAATGGGCCAAAATCACAGCAAAATATTGTAAGATGCTTGTGGAAGGTCAACCAGAACTATTTAAAGTCAATGCTACCAAATGCTGACAGTGTATGACAGCTACTGACCCACAGGAATTGTGATATGGTGAATTAAAAGTGAAAAAAATCTCTGTAAACAATTGTTGGGAAAAAGTAGATGTCCTAACTATAGTTTGCTAACATGAAATCTGTGGAGTGGTTAAAAAAATGAGCTTTAATGACTTCAACCTAAGTGTATGTAAACTGCCAACTTCAACTGTATCAGCTGTCCTCATCAGTGCAGTCCACAGGTTTTCCACTGGACTGCATTCTGGTGACTGAGATGGCTTTTGCAGGACCTTGATTGTCCCAGAACCATTTGTTTGTGGTGTGTTTTAGGTCAGAGTCGCGCTGGAAAGTCCATCCTCAACCATGTCTCAGGGTTCTGGGACTGGAAACCAGATTGTCAGCCAAAGTCGCTTCAAACTCGGTAGAATCCATTAAGCCATCTGACCTTAAACAATGTCTCAGAACCTCTAGAAACAACACTAATTCACCACTGTATTCCACTGTGGATATGAGGTTCTTTTCCTGCGTCTCTGTTTCAACACCAAACATGCTTATGCTGTATCTGGCCAAAACATTCCATTTTTGTCTCATGTGACCACAGCACTTTCGTCCAGTCATGATTTTAAATCACCTTTGGAAAACTGGAAGCTCTTGCTTCTGTCTTGGGTCGGAAAAAACTCTCTCCTTGCAACTTTTCCAAGGAGCCTCTCGTTACGGAGGTGGCATCTGATGGTGCTTTTTGAAACCTGCTGACCCCAAGACGCCACCAAGACTTGCCATTCTTTCACAGTGATTCTTGAGGATTTTTTTCTCACCATCCTCCTTCCTATCCCTCCTAAATGTGTTTGTATCTCCTACCTGTTAATTTATGAATCATTGTCCTTACTGCTCAGTGGTATATTCATTTATTTTTATCAGATTTATAAAGGTCTACAACGATTTGTCTCTTCTGAACTCTTTTCAACCTCATTTTTATGTCCAGGAAGTGATGACACGAAGTTCCTTAAAACTTAGATGAACTTACATAAGATGAATTTCACTCATGGTTTAAATTTGGTAGATTTTATTTCCTGTATTCTTTAGGGGTGCAATTAGTTGTGAAACTTTTATTTAGAGGAAACAGATTTTTAAATAAATCAATAAATGATTTTGGTTGGTTTCATTGGAACAGTAATAAACTAGGATAATTTTTACTTCTTGGCATTTCTGCATTTATCTCTGATTAATATGATTATTTATTTTTATAGTATTTTTAGTGCATTTCCTGTCAGTGGTGTCAATAATTCTGGAGCTCACTGTATATATATATATATATGTCATTGATTTTAATCCAATCTACTCCTTGACACTTATGAAGTATTAAAGCTCTTGCAAAGACTCCCACAATACATTTCTTTCTTCATTACACTGATCTTAAAACTATTTATTTTTCCAATATCTACCAATCATCTCTCTGTATTCCCCACAATGTAATATAAACCTAATACACACACACACACACACTATGGCCAAATAGACAACAGTTCTCCTAACTGCATGTTTTTGAACTGTGAGAGGAACCAAGTGGAAAACCAGCAGTAGGAGAACAGGTGGATACCAGACAGACAAACTGGGGTGGAATTCGAACCCCTAACTCTGCAGGTGTGAGGCAACAGCGCCCCCCACTGCTGGGCATCTCACCAAGTGGCACTTTCACACATCACACGACCGCTTTCCTAGCAGGTAGAACTCCTGCCCAGGCTAATTCAGTAACGAAAGGCTCACAGAGACTCACCTCGCCATTCTCCAGTGGGTGAATCTTGGAGTAGAAAGAGGTGCAGATGACCTCGTCGTCGTGGGCGTAGGACGGCGGGCCGGTCCTGGGCATGATGTTGAAGCGGGTGAGGCACTCAGTGTCTGTGATGGCATAGTACTGCCAGGGGGTGAAGGTGACATCATCCAGAGAGCGCTCCAGCACCCAGTTTCCGGGACGAGGAGAGTTTGCTGCCTTCAGGATGACATAGGCAATCTGGAACACCTATGGAGAGCATGCTGTTTCAGTGGAAGTAATGACTGCCTTGAAACCAGAGAGTGAACTAGCTTCTGCCACTCAAACTACTTCTGATGTAATTGATGCTCCAAAAGGTTCTCTCCAGCAATACAACCTAACGTAACTACCTCTGAAGAGTCCAAGAGCCCTGCTGGTTATTGGATTATGATTGTGCTCCCAATGTTTATTACTACAGCAATGTCAATTCACAGTGACCTTCCCAGCCACAGAAAACGAGGGCTAACCTATTTTCCGTGGTCCCATTCTCTGTCCTCTTCTGCATCAAAGCACCTCAGGGTAGATCACCTTGCGGTTTTAGGTAACCGGAACCACGGCAGGGTGGTATTACACTATCCTCCTGGGTCCTTACTATATCTCCCTAGAGCACTTGATTTTCACCGAAGTTCTAGATACATGCTAAGGGACAGGATGACACTGACATCCGAAAAAACTTTTGTCACCGGTGTTTACAGCCGCACACCTTTCCGCCGATGATAGGCGCATGAACCGTAGTGCGATATCAACTTTAAAAATGACTCACTGCTCCTTTTATCTGCCTGCAGATTGCAGAGTTGAATTTCACCATTTATAACAGGAGACGAAGCCGTCACGCCGGCATTCATAGCCCCGGCTGAAAGCGAATAGTATCCTACTCAGGTATCGGGGAGAGAATTACAAAAGATCTTTGTTTTTGTTTTTTTGTGCGTAGGGATCAGGAGCGGGGTGAGACATGGACAATCCTTCCGAACCCGTTGATTGGCAGCACAGATCTTAGTGCAGACAGGGCAGCTCAGATGTTGCCACATCTGTTTTGGTGTAGCACGGATAGAATATGACCTGGTCAGTGCATTAGGGAGAGGCAGGTGGAGGATGGGGCAGGGAGACTGGGCCAAATCCAGTCCCAGTTCCCTCCACAGTGAGAGCCCCCCAATTCTGCTCTGAGCTGGGATCATGCTGACAGGTCCAGACACACATGGACTGCATCACCAAAATGACCTACTTGAAATCATTCTCATGTTATTATTCTCAGGAATTAATTTGGTTTCGCTCAGAACCACGAAGGAGCACGGGCAGCATTTCTGTTACCGCGAACATAGTGTCCGTAACCCTTGCACTAACCTGCCGTTACAGAGCGAAAATAGCAAAGGTTGCGTGAATATTTTAAACACTGGTCTGACATATAACTCATCATATTCATGTGGCAGTAGGCCCAGCTCAACCAATGGAACCAGTAGAATATAAAATAAGAAACAATTTAGCCAAATCACTTGTTCACTGTGCTATTTAATCCCACAGCCTTGGATTCAACTTAAAATTGTTAATTGATTCCACATTCCATATCCACACGTTAACAATATAAAGGGGTCTCATGTTTAATTATTATACAACAATTTAATTTGATGTCATTTATTAAAATTTGAATCATGGGTGTCATTTTCAGTCCCTGGCTGGTTCTATGTCTTTTTGGCTTTCATTTCAACTCATTCAACTTGTTACTCCAATTAGTGGTTAATTAGCTATACAAATCCACACATTTACTCCCAAGTGAAGTACTGAAGGAGAAATTTCTTGAATAGCATTTTGGGGAGGGGGACCAGTGCAATCTCCAAGTGTCCTTTATGATTTCTAAGTAAAATAAGAAAAAAATGTCAAACTGACAGGACTAATCAAGAGAATAAGGGAGTGCAGTGCCTTAAATTGAGTTTAAATTGACGTTCAAACGAAGAAAGACATGTATCTCTGGCTGGAGTTGGCTGGATGAGCTTCTCGGATTACAGGCTACGTGTCATGTTGCCATGTAACGAGGGTCTAGCAGACTTCAGGAAATCTCAGCGGTGGATACGTGAGAGGCCAGGGCAGGTGCATCTTATTACCCTCTCCCAGGACGTCATCGATAATTATAGCGATGCGGCGTCACAACGAAGCACAGGCTGCCGGCGTCTGAAACGCGCAGGACAGAACTGCAGGAAAGTCAAGAAACGGCTGGAGAGAATACGAGAGTCGCAGGTTTGCGGATTTATCCGCACGAGTGCCGGGGTGGCGGGTTCCTGGGTGTGAAGTCCGCCGTGAGGCGAGCTAGCAGCCGGCGATACCCACGGACAGACACCCCGTGGGCGTGTTGACAGAGACGGCTGCCTTCGAAGGGTTTTCCAAAACACCTCCCACCCCCTTTCCGCCTGTCATTTTTCCATATCTCTGCCGGATAACGAGAGGGAAGTTAAATAAGAAAAAAAAATAAAACAAAGAACACGCAGGGCGCTGACGTCACGAGTGATAAGGACACGCGCGGCGGCGCATCACCGCGTGCGCAGACGGCGCAGACTCATTAACCCGCGCGGTGACAGCCGTCGCCATGGCTGCGGGGGAAGGGCGCTCACGCGGAGAGGAGCGATCTGGTAAAACGGAGGGGCTGTAATGGCAAAACGGCAGCCGGGAAGGCAGGCGAGTGAGCTCTGCCAGAGAAACGACGGCTTACCTACAGTGACAGCCGTTAGCTACACAGCCGCCTCAGCGCCCACAGCAGCCGAGGCTCCAGTGGCAGAAGCCGCACATTTCCAGCATTCCGAATCCCCCATTTATTATATCAATTATCTCTATGCCGTCATGTCAAGGGGAAGGCTGATTCAGATATTTTATCTGATATAAATTATATTTTAAAATAGCATTTTGGTATCATTCTGATGTTCTCCCCAGTTCACTTATTAAATCTGTTCTATAAAAATTTTTACTTTTTTGTGAGATATATATACATTAAAGTATTACGCCTTGTATGCTGATATTACACTGACGAATTGTCTATCAGCAGTTAAACTACACAAAACACAAGGCCAAAGCATGCAGAGTTTGCTGATGAAAAGCCTGGTTTGATTCCATAATTAATCTTCAGGTGTGCATCCTCTCTGCTTTGTCCTGCACCACCAGTTCTGTGCCGCTTAAAGAGATTTACGTTTCCATATATCCTTTCGAGTTGGACCCCTTCCTGGATCCCGTGATCTATAACTGACTCATGGTGATAAGCTCCTAGTTTCATATCTCCAGGAGGACCCTACATTGCACCCCCCCCCCCCCCCCATGTTTTTCAGGTCCAGCATTCCGATGACTCTGCCTGGTAATGACTCAGACTAGGAGGACCAGAGTCAGGCTCTGCTTAAAGCTAAAGGGGTGGGCTTCACCTGTGATGGCTTATGCAGCATGGGTGGGTGGCTGGGTGGGGGAGCTCTTCACCTGTCAGGACACAGCGTTCCCCTGTTATCCACTCTCATATCCTGAAAGACAGTCTCCTTTCCTGGGAGCTGAAAGTACATTCGGCTAATAAATGCTCATTTAAGTGAATAATATCCAGGTGGAGGTCAGTACCAGGGTGGTTTTTAGGGCTTGTTTGTATTGGAACTGCCAGTTAAGATCACCAGCAGGTCAGAAGACCCTCGCAGGAGCACCTGAGGGTGGTGAGCATGAGATCTCTCCCAAGAAAGTTCCCCGTTTCAGGACCAGCATGAAATATCTACAGCCAATTCCTCCGTGGCACTCCCTTCCTCTGATTGGCTAATGCTTATTGTTATACAGTAAGAAAATTGTTTCTTCGACACTTTAAATATGGGTAATGGAATCTTTTTTGCCATTCCAGCTTCCATCCAATCCCCTTCCGCATATCAAGTACACGGTCCTCTATTGCCCTCCCCTCCACTCACCCATGTTCAACAGGTTCAGTATTCCGATGACTCTGACTCAGACTCAGACAACACCGAGGAGGGGACTCCCTGGACGGGACGAAGACCCTATCATAGTGCCTTAAGTTTAAATTACATCGGAGAAATGGAGGTTGGACTTTGGTACACGGTGGCCCTTACCTGCTGGAGGTCCAGCGTGACTGTGATGTAATGGTAATCCATGCCGTTCTTTATACTGGGGCTTTGCCACCACCGATTGGTCCCGTCGATGGCGTACTCAATGGGATGCTGCTCTGCAATGAGCATGGGACGGGGCACGTCACATGATTCCCGGCGTCCTCATCACAGCATCAAAAGGTGACTAATCAAAAATCGCTACAAGCGTTAATCACACAACATGTAGAGAGACAGTATGCAGGGGTACTGGCTTCCAAGCTTAGCACTCCGTATACTTTTTGTTACACGGAAACAGCAATAGCCTTGTCTTACATTGGCCAATTTACTTACAGATTACAAATTGAAAAATGGTACTCGTTTTCTTTACAGACACTGATTAATTTAAAGGAAGATTTAATTCCTGGAACTATAAAAACTATCTACCCATGAACACACAGTGGGAATTAAAGGACAACAGTATGTTTCTCAAGGATGTTAACAACTGCAATGGAATTACTATATCTATGCGTAGATTAATAACCATGTCCTTGATTGGTTAGAATAGAAACTGGCATAATTCATCCATTAGGTTGCCAGCCTACATCAGTTTGTAACAGTTACAGCCTGATGAACTGCAGCAGGTGACACAATGAACATGTTAACGATTCTTTTGGCCGAGCTCAGGAACAGTGTCCATTACGCTGTAAAAACTCGGTTTGTTCAGCAGAGAAACGGCATTAAATTTCGAACTCGGCACATACACACCAATTTAACAGATTACACGTCTTTGGACGGCACTCACAGGTTTTTATAAACAAGAGCAGGCCTTCTGTTAGCTAATAACGGGGTAATAGGGGGATAACGACATGGACAGATGTGTGGAGTAGGGGAAGCAGATGAGGGAGGTGTTCTGGGAACTGGGCCACTGTCCAGAGCACTCAGGGTTGCACTTCAGTCTAAGACAACTGCTGTAACTCCAAGACGTAAACAATAAGGCCATCTCTGTGAAAATCCACCAGCGTGATTGGATATTTTTACGTACACATAGAATTTTATTCCCTGCTGTCATTCAAGTAACTCAATGATGATGATTAAGAACATGATTATTAAATAAAACAAATGTACGGTTAAGTGATTGAAAAATCTTAAAAATTATAAAAATGTCCGTTTGCCTTTGAGAGAGGAAAAAAACCTTTAATGAGTGAGAAAGTCTGTTCGGTGTGACATTCCCATCCGAGACCCAATTATAAGTCTAGCCAGCATCTGTTTGATTTAATCAGAATGTAACTTTGTTTTGCACAGATTAAAAAAAAAACTTAGCTCTCCCACGTTTATGGGGAACATATGGAGGGGAAAAACTGCGAGGCTGCGTCAGAGAATCCTCAGACTTATTCTGGCACGGCCACACGAGGGCCAATTGTGGGCCTGTTCCTTCATCGAACGGCACCACGTATGGACACACACACACACACACACACACACACACACACACACACAGGGGAAGCTGGATTTTCCTACAGGGCCGGCCCTAATCCTTGGCATTCATGTCACCCCCATGTTGTCATTCTCTGGTTAATCGTGGAATGTTTGAATTGTGAACTGAGGGGGCACTTGACTCGTGGAATTGGTGACGGGTTTGAGTCTGTCGTGTAGGAAGGCAGAGAGAACCAGTACCAGCGGGCTGTTCACTGTGGAGGTTGCAGATGCGGCACTGAGGGTTCCGGACCGGCTGTCCCGGGACGTGCTCCACCAGCTTGCAGAACATCTCCGGTCCGGTCTCGCCACAGGTGGCATTGGTGCTGATCTGAGACATGGAGGCCAGGTTGAGCACAGCGGGGAAAAGACCTGAGAACGAAAAGGGTCACAGCTGAAGAGCAACATGGCAACAGCACGGTTACGTCGGCACGCCATGGTTACCAGTCTGCATACCATGGCAACCAGTCTGCATGCCATGGCAACCATTCGGCACGCCATGGTTACCAGTCTGCATACCATGGCAACCAGTCTGCATGCCATGGCAACCATTCGGCACGCCATGGTTACCAGTCTGCATACCATGGCAACCAGTCTGCATGCCATGGCAACCATTCGGCACGCCATGGTTACCAGTCTGCATACCATGG